GAGAGCCCCTCCTCTCCCGCTGCTTTCCTTCGGGTCCTCGGTCCTCGTCCCACACGTGAAGTAGAAGGAGAACAGCTCTGGAGACCACCTGACCCCTGTGCCCCCCGGGGGCATCTCCCCCACACCTTCTCCCCCTGTGAAGCTGAGCAGGGACTGGTCAGTGGACTCCTGGGGACAAGCCAGTCTGCGGGGAACTGCAGAGAGGGCTCTTTCCTTTTGAAGGAGGAGGAGGGAAGGGCTTGGGAGGGAGGGCGCGGAGGTGGTCGGTAAGGGCACTCAGGGAGCCCCGGCTCTCCAGACGGGGACAGAGAGGCAGGGGCAGCCCCCAGGAAGGAGAGGGGACCTCACTTTCACTGGCCTCGCTTCATGTCACCTGAACCTGGCTGCAGCGGCAGGACCCCCGAGTCCAACAGCACAAACAGATCTCAGCAGGAGAGGTGCGCGTGGGGTGCCTGCCAGGCTGTGCTCGGGACACAAGGGCGTGAGGGCCCAGATGCCCGTCACTGTGGTCGGTGTGCCCGCCACCAGCTCTGCCCGCCACCAGCTCCCATGAGAGCAGCCACCTGTGCGCCTGCAGGGCTCACTCCCACCTGGACTGGACACACCCCGAAGCCCAGAACCAGCTCCGCTGCAATAGACCTGCCCATCGCACGGGACGGCGCGGCCCCTCCTGACGGGCAGCCCAAGGCTGGTCCCTCCTCTCCTGCTGAAGGCCAGGAGCTGCTGCCCCTCCACTACCCGGACAGCATCAAGCCAAAACCTCCGGAAGGAACCCTGTCCCAGTGGAGTCCAGCCTCCCATCAGTAGGGTAGAGGCCACGGGCGTTAAAATCTGAGAGCAAGGAGACTCATGGGGGCTCGACAGTCACCCCGCCATCTGCTGCTTGGTGCCCTGGGGCAGGTCGCTGGAACGCTGGGCCCCGCTCTCCTATGGGGGAGCACATGCCCGTACCTACAGCCCCTCACCTCAAAAGCTCAGAGGCTCATTGATGCTCCCTGTAAAAATACCCAGTAATTACCCCTAAAAACAACCCTAACCTCCGCCACATTTTCCTTTTAAAATGTCACTTGATCTTGAAGTTGGAAGGTATTACGGGGTGAATTGTGTCCCCACAAAAAGATACACTGAAATTCCGGCCCAGAACCTGTGCGGAACTTACTTGGAACCAGGGCCTCTGCGGGTATGAGGCCAGGAGGAGGGGGCAGGAGCAGGTGGACCTGCGTCCAGGAAGAGACCGGGGCACGGGGGGAGAGATGTGGGGACAGAGCAGGAAGCCTGTGGCCCTGTGACCTGAGGCAGAGTCTGAGTGACGGGGCTACACGCGGAGACGCAGCGGGGGTCACCGGCGACCACCAGAACCTGGAGAGGTGGTGGTCTCCCTCTGAGACCCAGAAGGAACCCGTCAGCCACCCTTGATTGGGGGCTTCTGGGTTCCAGAAACGGAAGGAAAAAAACCCCGCTGTCTTGAGCCTCCCAGTTTGTGGTACTTTGTTCTTGTGCCCAAGAAAGTGGAGCCCGAGGGTCACTGGGTTTCCCTACCACCTCCCGCCCCAGTTCTGCCCAGTGGTCGGGCGCCGCTCCACTACCTCTGGTAAGAGAAAACCAACTACTGTCCACTGCCTTCCACCCTGAAGACGCCCAGCTGTCTCTCCTGCCCTCGGGAGTCCTCCCCGAGCACCTGCTGAAGCCAGGCACTGTCTGCATTTGTGCTGCACCAACAGGAAGAGCAGGGGCAGCAGCAAACATGGAAGAGATGTCAGAAGCATTGTCTAAAAAACAAGGTCATTTCTGATATAGTTTCCAAGAAAATAAAACAATGCAATGTAACAGAGCAAGTGGGCTAGGGACCAGAGGGAAAAGGGACATCATTTGATTGTTTAGAGAAGGTCAGGCTGAGGATGTGATATTGAAGCAGACCTGAATGACAAGGAGGTGCTCCTGGGCAAATCTGATGGCAGGGAGAGCCAATGCAAAGGCCCTGTGGCAGAGTGAGCTGGGTATGCTAGAGGCCCAAAAAGAAGGTGAGACCTTTGTGAATGAGAGTGGTACCTGCTGAGCTGGAAAAGCAGGTGAGGCTGGCCAGGACCCGTAGGTCACCTGGTAGACCATGGGAACAGGTGTGAACTTCTCCACAAGGGAACTGAGAAGCTTCAGGGAGAGATGGAATGAGGCAGGCCATCCAAGTCCAGAAGCTGAAAGCTTTCTAACTATGGGGTCTGTCCTCTGGTCCTCGGACCTTGTCAACGACAGCCCCCAAGACCCTCCTGGCTCATCAGCACCGGTCTAGCACTGGAGCGAAGGGCAGCGAGTCTCCTTGGTTCCCCGGTCCCTCACCAAGGTACTGTCACCAGAGAACATCCTGATCAGACAGCCGCGGACCGCCTCGGGTCCAGAACTGCACTCCACCCGTGGGGCCCCAGGTGGCCCCGCTTTCAGTGCTGTTTTGTACCCTGACCTGCCCAGGTGTGGTCAGGCCCCCTCCCCAGGAGTCCTCGTGCCACGCAGGTCTGGAAAGTGGGACGGAAGGCTCTCTTCCACCCAACAGAACAGCTTGTCCTTAAAGGGGGAAAAAAAAAAGAAGTGCTACCTGCCCCAACAGTGCCACGTACAGAACACTGTGTCAACAAACACGGCACCTCCTCCCCGCAGCCCTTGTCTTCCGGGAGGGGACAGGAAAGCCACCAGGGCAGGTTTCCCTGGAGTGGCCTGGCTCTGGCCCCACACATCTGAAGACACCTGGGCCCTTTGGAAACCCAGGCACTTGAGCAAAGCGCCCGTCCTGCCCCATTTCTCAACCATCATAAACAAATCTGGGTTGACAGTGCAGCTGCGCTGGCCAGCTTGGGGTGAGCTGGGGAGGGTGCTCTGCCCCAGGCCTTTTGGGGAGACGGGGTGTCTGGCTGGAGGCCCATTTCCACCAGATACCGGCTCCACCTGCACCCCTGGGGGCGGCTGCCTCGCCCAGCCTTGGCGGCTGGGATTGACACCGCGGCCCTCTGCCTGCACCAGCTGAGCGGCTCTGGGCACGCCAGCCCCAGCTCCGTCAGTGGTGTGGGAGCCCCACGTCCCAGGCTCGTCTAGAAGATGGGTCAGGAGCTCTGGAGCACTTTGGAAGGGAGGGCTGCTATGGGCGGGACTTCCCTCATCTCTGCAGTTCCTTCCTGCTGCTGGGAGAGTTTTTAACACGGCTTTTGATATTCCTTTGAATGAACCCATCGTTTTCCTTTTGTGAAAGGAGGCGGGGGTGGAGGGAGAAGGAACTAGGAGGCAGGCATCGGCATGACTCGCCCACCTGAACCTTTCCCCGGGCCTAACGAAGCCCCCTTCACCTGGAGCTGCCATCCAGTGACCACCTTTGGAGGTACAAAGCCTGGTCATAAAGAGAGCGGCACATCTGCTGTTGGCAGACTCCCCACATGTGGGACGCTCCAGCAGACTCCCAAGGCCAGTGACCTATCCCCATCGTGGGTGGCTTCTCCTTGCCTTGAGGTGTGAGATTGTCCAGTAGCAGGACGGACACAAACCATCGACAGACAACCACCAGAAACCCAGGACAGCCACACAGAGGCTAGAGATAATCTGCCCGTCACCAACCCATGACTCCCTGTGCCTGAGTCCTACGCCACCTTCATCTCTAATGGAAAAAGAAAATCTCATGAGTCAACTTTTTCAGCGAGCTCATCTCGACAGCCCGCTGCCCTGCGCTTCACAGCGCTATTTCTGAACAAAGTGGAGATAGAACCCCAGGCAGCTGGAGGGGAGACTGCAGAGCAGGGGGTCCTCCACTGGTGCCCACGAAAGGCACTCCGCTCACTCTGCCTAGGCCCCTTCGCTCGGGGTCAAGCATTTTGGCCATCCTGACTCAGGTCTAGGGCAGAGGCCACCTCCGGTCAGAAGAATCAGAAGCATGAGCATCAGGCTGGGGGCCGGATCTTGGCCAGGCGGGCGGCCTGGTTCTGGACACTGTCAGCTTGCCTCTAACACTGACTCACCTCAGGGACAGGTTCTGTGGTGGGCACCTCCCCTGTGCCAGCTCAGAGGTGAGTCCCTGCTCAATCTGCAGGTGGGCACTCATGCCCGGCACTGACCAGAGAGGAAGAGGAGCTGGCCACTACAAAGCCTCTTCCTCTTCCCCTTTTGATCTTCCCATGTCCAGTCAACCTACAACCTAGGGAAACATGAAGCCAGTAGGAGGGGGCAGGCACCAGTCCAGGAAGACCAACACCTGGACACTGGCTCCGCTCCCTGAGCCAGCTGTCCTCAGGAGCTCCAGAGCCACAGCCACATTGCTGTGCCCTCCAGGAACCGCTAAGCTCAGGGACCTCAGGAGCAGAGGGGAGCGCTGCTGGGCACCGCCAGAGCTGACCGGCAGCCCCTGGGTCAGGGACCGCTTTTCCTCCACCCCGCCTGCCAGCCCCGGAGCAGCAGGCTGCACCCTCAAGCCCACCACTCACACAAACTTGACCCACAGCCCTGCGCCCAGGCCCTAGCCACCCTCCCAGCAGGTCCTTCCAGGAGTCTACACCCCAGTTCCACCCCGAAGCCGCGGAGCCACAGCATCTGCTGACCTCAGCCAAGGGGCAGCCCCTCTCGCCATCAAGCCCCTTGCCCTAGTACCCTGCCTCCTGCAAGCCAGGACCCCGTCGAGACCCCGGCCCTCGAGGACCCACGCCCTTGGCAACCACGGACCCTTCCTCCACACCTGCCCCCATCCTGCTCTCCCGCGGAGACCCCCTCGTTGTCAGTCTGCGAACCTCGACCTGTCACCTCGCGGAGGTCCCAGCCTTTGTCGCCCGGCGGACACCCAAACCCTTGCCAACCAGGGGAGACCCACGTCCTTGTCGCCCCGCGGAGCACCTCGTCCCGCCAACCCGCCGCGCTGCCATCTGTCACCCCTGGCAGAACCCGCGTCTCCAAAGATCCCGTCCCGGGCACGCAGCTCCCCCATCACTCCCGGGCCACCCCCTCGCGAACCCGCAGGCGACCCTCGGCCCTCTCACCGTAGCGGGCGGCCAGCAGGCAGAGGACCGGGCTGCAGGCGGGCACCGTCCGGTCGGCGGCTGCGACGACTGCGCCGAGCGCTTGCAGCCGGGTCCTTCCGAGGCTCCGCGGCGAGCTGTCAGTCAGCCGGCCCGCCCCGCCGGTCTGCGCAGGCGCGGAGCCCCGCCCCCGCCGTGGCGTCACGGGACGGCGGCGCGGCCTCCGGGGTCCGTCTGGTCCGCGGCTCTTCCGCGGTCCTGGCTCCGGGTCCCCGCCGCGCAGGAGCAGTTACCTGGCCTCAGGGCCGGGGTCTCCCCAGAGCCGAGGTCGCTCCAGAGTCAGGGTCTCTGCAGAGCGGGGGTCGCCCTAGAGCCGGGGTCTCCCCAGAGCTGGGGGTCGCCCCAGAGCTGGAGTTGCTGCAGAACCAGGGGTCACGGCAGGGCCGGGGTCGCGGCAGTTGTGGACGGGTCTCTGGATGGTGAGGCCGGGTGCTGAGCGCAGCCCGAGGCCGGCTTGCGGGTGCCCAGAAAGCCGGTGTCGTAAAGACGGGGATGCCCTGGGACCCTCAGTTCAGGATCTTTCCAGGAACACGAGAAACTGGAGGCCCCCTTCAGTTTGTTCCACCTCCAGAGAAACACAAAATCCTGAGCTGCCTTCCGCGGAAGCCCTTAGCTCCAGAAGGGAGCGGGGAGACGGACACCCCTACTCGCTGACCTCGGGGTCCAGCAGAGTGGAGCTTCTGACTCCGCCGAGTTGGCTCTGGCCCTCGGTTTCTGAAGACACTCCCTGAGCCACCGGGCTGCACCCAAGTGCTGCTTCTGGGGGGCTCTGCTGAAGTGACGGGTCAGCAGTGGGGCTGAATGTGTTAGACCAAGGTGGGACTCATGCTGGGGACCCAGAGTTCTGCCACTCAAGAGAAAAGAGGACAGTGTGCTGGTGATGCAGGGTCAGCCCATGCCCCAGGCTGGTCCTGGAAAGATGGCCTGTTGACTGTGGACTTGCTTGGAAAAGTTTAAGGCAACAACAGCGTTGGGAACTGCAGTCCCACAGGGTTGGGGACCTTCAGCACCGAAACTGTTCCCGTTCCTCCTGGTTTGCTTGAGGATTTGGGCATGGCCACTGGGGAAGAAGCTGGATGTCGGGGTGCCCAAGCTTGGTGTGAACTCAGGAAGGGAAGGTAGCCTTCCATTCCCTCAAGTGGACACTACAGAGAAGTGGCATACTTGGTCTCCGTTGGGCTCTGCCTGTGTGTGGCAGAATACAAGTGCCATCTTGGGGAACTTGTGGGAATGGGGGACTCCTGCAGTGGCTAGAGAGACACCCCCTTAGAGTGGGTGAGCTGGGCACTGCACACTGACGGGACAGTCCTGAATTGATCTGGGCATTCCAGTGCTCTCCCTGAAAAAGTGTGAGTTCATTGAGGTCACATTCCATTTGAGGGGACATAATTTCTCCTCAAAGGACTCATGCAGCTCTCTGCCCCTTCATCAAAGGTCGTCTGACCTTGCCAGAAAGCTGGACAGAGGCATATGAACATGGCCATTTCAAAAAAGAGGAAGAGAGTTTGCAAACCACAGAATACCAGCAAACTCCACATCAGGCCTGGGAAATAAATACTCGGGACAGACAAGTCATGGAGATGTACCTGTGACCTCTCCAAAGAGAACGCACCAAGGACAAAGACCACGTTTTGGTCAGTTAACCTTGTTTCCTGCTATGAAATGTATAGCTAAGGAAGTATGGTGGACACTGTTTCTGGACCCAAAGGTGTAATTTAACAACATTTTTTTAGTTATAAGTGACAAAAACTCCATTTGAGTTGATTTTATTATTAATTTATGTATTTTTTTTTATGATATAGGGGGTTGAATGTGGGTGTACTGTACCACTGAGCTATGTCCTCAGCCCTGTTTATTTTTTGTGACACGGTCTTTTTAAATTGCTCAAGCTAGTCTTTTTTTTTATATTTATTTTTTAGTTGTAGTTGAACAACAATACTTTTATTTTTATTTATTTTTATGCGGTGCTGAGGATCCAAACCAGGGCCTTGCATGTGCCAGGCAACAACTCCAGCCCATCAAGCTAGTCTTAAACTTTTGATTCTCCTGCCTTAGGCTTCAGAGTAGGTGGGATTATAGGCATGTGCCATCACGCACAACTTCAAGTTGGTTTTTTAAGAGAGAATGTGATGCTGGGCGTAGTGGTGCACGCCTGTCACCCCACCAGCTCAGGAGGCTGAGGCAGGAGGATTGAAAGTTCAAAGCCAGCCTCAGCAACTAGCAAGACCCTATCTCAAAATAAAAAGGGCTGGGGATGTGGCTCAAGGATTGAGTGCCCCTGGGTTGAATCCCCAGTACCAGGAAGAACACAAACAACAAAACCCCCAAACCTCAAATAGAGGATAAGTCCAAATAGGCAGTTACACAAGATGCAGCAGCGGGTGCGACTTACTATCAGTTGTTTCCGCCCAGCCACAGGCCTGTCTTTCTCTCTCCCCTGCTTTCTAAATGACCACCACCAGCTTAGTGGCTCACAAAAACACAGATGTATTATCCGGCAGCTCTGGGGGTCAGGTTCCAGAACTGAGGTATCAGCAGGGCTGGTTCCTGCTAGGGCTCCGGGAGGGCTCCTGGCTCGGGCCCCTCCTGCTCCAGAATCCCAGTGCTCTGGGTAGTTCCCCAGGCTTTCTCCTCCTTTTGTCACAGGAGAAAAATGTCTCCAGAGAAGGGTCCTAGGAGTTCCCAGAGGGGGAGAGCTGAGCTTAGGACCAGCGGGGCTCTTGGCATTCACGATGGAGAACTTCAGCACCAGCCACACGATGGCAGAGACAGGTTAATTTGGGAAGGCCGATATGCGCTCAAGGGAGAGTGATGGAGAGCGAGGGGCCCCGACTCAGGCTGGGGGCTGACCTTTATAGAAGGGCTGTACCAGGGGCTGGACTGGAGGTGAAGCCGGGTGCAGCCGCACAGCTTTCCTGCTCTTGTGTATTTCCCTCATTTCACGAGGGCCAGGGTTTGCAGCTGTGTTTTCTGCATCTCCCCTAAGATTCCGCATTTCTCTCTCCTTGTCCTAAATCCCTGTCACTTTCACTGGGAACACAGCTGGCTGTGCCTAGTGTCTCTGCCTGGGCTCTCCTGGTGGCTCCTTTGGTGGCCAGCAGTGCCCGATTCCCTGCTGGTGGAGTCTCCTTACCCAGGGGTGAAGGTGGTCACGTGTTCTCCCTTGCACAGTTCCCAGGGAGCGCCTACCCTGTGGCGCAGTGAGGGCAGTCTGTCTGACCGCTGCGGAACACTGCATTAACCCCTTCACCTGACCTTCCCTCTCCCCATCCTTGGTCCTTTTCAGCCTGCAAGTGCGGTCAGATCCTCCAGCGGCCTCCCTCCCCCCGTCAGATAAGGCCGGAGTCCATCACTAGGCCCTGCTCAAGCTCCTGGCCAGGCCTCACCTCTGCCCTTTGCCCTCCACATGCTGACCCCACACCGGACTCCCAACAGCCCCCGCACCTTCTCACCTCAGGCCTCCCCACCTGCCCCCCTGCCCGAACCCCCTTCTTCTGCCACCCCACACTTAACGCCCCACCCTTCCTGGAGGAAGCTAGCACAGGACCCTGACCAGGTCAGGTGCCTCTGGCCGCCATCCCAGCACGCGGTGTCTTTCCTCTGTAGGGACGAGCAGGTCTGTCATTTTGCTTGTGGGTGACGCCAGCTCAACACCGCCCGTGTCCGCAGCACCTGCTCACTCAGTAACTGCCGAATGCATCAAGGAGTTTCGGGGCGCAGGAGCCCAGAGGAGGCCCCCGGGGTGGCGTCAGGGCTCACTGCTGGGAGGCTCAGTGGATGGGGTGGGAAACTGACTTTGGGGGACCCTGTCGAGCGTCAGGGAGGCAACTGGGTGCAGAGCTAGGGCAGCAGGGGCCGGCCAAGGAGGCAGAGCCAGGCAGGTGGCGCTAGGCTTACCTGTCCCTCAGCTGCCCCAGGCGGACACCTGGTCCACAGGGAGGCCAGGACGCAGTGCCTCTGAGGACAGGACAGACGGGGCTGAAGCCTGGCTCGCCACCTCCCTGCTGGACCTCTCGCCGCCTGTTTGTGGCTCACACCACCACCCTGAGTGCTTACCAAGGGCCTGCTTTTATGGGCCCTGGGGGCAGCTGTGAAGGGACCAGCAGAGCTCCCCTGGGAGGAAGAATGAAGGGTAAGGGGGCCAAACAGGATGGGAGCCGGGCAGGGAGGGAGGCCGACACCCACGCCCATCCTGCACTCAGTGACTGTCCACTCTCGGCCAGGCTTCACCCAGCAGGCTCCGTCCACAGGCCAGGCGAGGTGGCCAGTGCCGAGAACCCAGGAACCATCACACACGGTGATTTAGACCTCCTGGGCCTTGCCGACCCCGGGAGCTGGAGTCGTCCTCTCTGGCCCTTAACAAATTCACCACCACAAACCCCACTCCTGCCTCAAGTGGGACGCCTCACAGCCAGCACCCTGGCCGAGAGGTGGGAGAGCAGGGAGCCCTGCCCTGCCCTGCCCTGCCCACACAGGGACAGTGCGGCCTGTTTCTGCGACAGGAGCCTATGGCAGGTGCCTTTGGCATCTCACACCTCCGACTTGGGTCTGTTCTGTGTTGCTCAGACTTCATCCTCCGGCTGCAAGTGTTGCAGTGGACCACGGGTCACCTGTTCTCTAGTCGGTGAGCGCTGAGGTGACTTCAGGTTGGGGTGTTGTGACAGTCTGTGTGAACACCGCCCCCAGGGCCTTCTGGTGAGTGCAGGTGTGTGTTCAGTGTTCAGCAGGCATGCCTGTGCCACCCGAGGCAGGTGGCGCTCACCCACCTGTGTCCCCTGCAGCAAATGCCTGGTGCCCCTGTTTTAGCTCTCTGTGGTGTGGGGCCCGAGCTTGTTGTGGTTTGAGTTGGCATTTCCTTGATGACTTAGGAAAGTGCACACTGCATCGTTTGCTCTTGCTCCCGTATCTTGCTGATTATTCTTGTTTAATTATATTATCACGTATTTAAATTGGGTTGGGTGGGGGTGTAGCTCAGTGGCAGGGCACATGCATGCCAAAGACCCCAAGTTCAATCCCCAGACCATTCCCCCAGCAAAAAAAGGGCCATGGCTGATATTCCATTTATATTATACATACATATTATACATGTCCCTCAACTCTGCTTTTTAACAACTTTAAAGATCCTACATATCAATCCATAAAAGTGCTTCTTTTCTACAGCTGCACTAGGTATTCCCTGCATGAGGACAACAGTGCCACTAATCTTTGTTTCTGCCCACAGGCCACTGGAGGTGCTCAGGTTCTCAGTGAGAAACTGCTGGGTCAAAGGGCACACTTAATTTTGGTAATCTGCATTGCTAACTTGCTTTGCAAAGAGCCAAATGAATTTACAAGTGACTAATTGGTGTGCCTTTGATTATAGGGTACAACCGGCTTTTTTTTTTTTTCAGTGCTGGGGATTGAACCAAGGCTACTGAGCTACACCTATTTTAAATTTAATATTTTAAATTAAAAAAAAATTGACAAAAGGTCTCACAGAGTTGCCCAGGCTGGCTGGCTTCAAATTGCAATCCTCCTGCCTCAACCTCGTGAGGGCAATTATAGCCTTCGCCACTGCGTCTGGTACAACCAACATGTTTATCTTTGCCATGTGCTTTGCATGTCATTCACTCTGACTCTGAGGCAGTCCACTTTCCTTCTACCTGAACAGAGCCTCTAACTGGCTGCTTCCTGGGAAGTGCTCTGTGGGCCCAGCTTCTGCAGGCTGAGGAGTGAACAGGTACCTACCTGGAGCAGGGAGGCTCTCCATCCTGCCGGCACCAGCAGTGCCAGGAGGTTGTTTGTCTCAGGCAGTGAAATCAGGGAGAGGCACAACCAGGGTTGAGCCATAATCTTAAAACAGGAAGAGACCTTAGAAATCAAGTCGAATCTCCTAGGTTTTTAAAAAGCGGAGGCTTTCAGAGGGGAAATGACTGGCAGAAACACTAGCAAGGCTGAGAAAGAGACAGGAATCCTTGGCGACAGGTGAATTGTTTTGCCAACTGGTGCCATCACTTACATGTCTGTGTGTGTGTGTGTGTGTGTGTGCGTGCTGGAACCAAGGGCCTCTTGCATGCTATGCAAGTGCTCTAGCACTGAGCTACATGATACCATGCCAACAGCCCTTTTCCATATATATATATTCGTACTGTGGATTGATCTCAGGAGTGCTTGACCACTGAGTAACACCCCCATCTCTTTTAAAAATTTTTAGAAACAGGGTCTCAGTAAGTTGCTGAGGCTGTCTTTGCACTTCTGATCCTCCTTGTCTCAGCCTCCTAAGATGCTGGGATCACAGGTGTGCACCTCAGTGCCTGGCTTTTCTTCCCAAAATTTTGAGACAGGGCCTCACTAAATTGCTGAGGCTGCCCTTGAATTTGTGTGGTGCTCTTTTGTTTTCTTTTTGGTGCTGGGTATTGAGCCACATCTCCACATCCTCCCCAGGGTCTCATTGAGCTGCTGAGGCTGGCTTTGAACTCCTGAGCTGCTGGATTACAGCCATGTACCACGGGGCAGGGCTCCTTGTGCTCTTGTCAACAGACCTGTCACAAGACCCTGCTGCTAAAAACCAGAGGCAGAATGTTTGCCCAAGTTGAGACTCTTACCAGGAAAAACCCAAACAGACCCTCTAGCTGTACTTATTTTTCACCAACGTACAACCCACTACTCAGTGTTAGTTGCTTTATAACCCAAAGTGTGATCCTGGTCCTGAACGACAACCTAATAACAAAGAAAAGGTCTTGAGAAAAAGGAAAAAGCAGGTTTATTGTTTTGCTAGCAAAGGAGAAACACAGGGGACTCCTGTCCCTAAGACTGTGATCCTACCTAACTGCAGGAACAGGGGGCTTTTATAGAAATGATCCAGAGAAAATGAGATTAGGGAGGAGAGATCAGAAAGGAGAAGTTTAGAGAAAAAAGATCAGAGAGGAGATGATCAGGGTAAAGTTTAGGTAAAAGATCAGAGAGGAAAAGATCAGGAAGGAGGTTAGGGAAAAGGAGATCAGGGAAGAGAAGGTCAGGGGGAAGAATTCTGGGAAAAAGGAAAAAAAAAACATGTAAGTTTCAAAGTGACAAGGGATCTAGTCAAAGCACCAAGTGCACCCTGTTACAGAAGGGCTAGGGTGTGGCTCAGTGGCAGAGCGCCCCGGGGTACACACACAAAGCTCTTAATATTGCTCTGTGCAATTATACCCCAATTACAGCGGAGGCGTGCAGTCTTCGGTGCTATCAAAAGACAATGCACCACATAAAAATAAACAAATAAAATAACGGTATTGTGCCCAATTACAACTAAGAAATAATAGAAATTTAAAAAAGACAATCGCCCTTTCAGAAGAAAAAGAGCGGACTGGAGGCCAGCGCCTTAAGGGATCGGCCACACTAGGAGAGAGCAAGCCCAGAGCCGCGTGAGTGCGGGGCACCGACCACACGACGAGCAGGGGGCGACCTCACAACGCGAGGCCGCAGGCTGGGACTCTGGTACAAGGCCTTCATGCACCTCCCACTTTCAGGATCTGGCTGCGGAGAGCTGCAGGAGCGAGAGCGCGGCCAGCAGACGGTGAGACGGGCCCCTGGGCGGCCGCCGTCGCCTTCTTCCAGCCCACGACGTGCCGCGGGCACGAGCACTGCCGGACACCCGCTGCCGTCCGCAGGGCCAGCAGCACACGCACCGGGAACCCGCGGGCTGCGCTCGTCCGCACCCGGAAGCCCGCCGCAGAGGGG